GTTTTACCTGCCTTCTCATTTTTTCATCCCAGTAACTCCATGAAGTGGCCACCAGTATCCAGTCCTCTGTATGTATGAGGAAACCACAGCTGAGAAGTGAAATCACCCACTCAAGCTTGCACAAACTGGACACTTCGCTTATATTTGTTTTGTGATCAGCCCCTCTCCTGGCTTCCCCTGTCTCCATCCCTGCCCTCTCATGAGCATTCAGATACCTGCAGCATCCTGGGGAGCTCCCCTGTGACCCCTGGGGGACCAGCCACCTCCAGGGGAGGCTGCCTTGGATTTAGAAACAATTGCAGATCAAGAGTTTTTATACCTGATTGGTTAACTTATTTATTGGCACAATACTTTCTTCTGCCTGGATTTTTATATGCTTTTTTTTCTTAACATTCACTATTTTTATGAATGTGTACCTTAGGGTATTATGGTTTTCATACATTTAATCAAGTCAACGGTGGGTCATTTCAATCAGAAGATTTAGCTCTTATTTTACTCCAGGAAAGCGACCTAATGTATCCTGGGCCGTGATGTGTGTTCCATTCGCTCATCTCTCCTCCCTGGGAGCACCAGTTATCTGGTAGACAGTTGTCTGGCCTTTGTTTTCTTCATCAGTTTCTCTCTCTCCAATTCCTCTTATCTTTGCTTGCTTTGCTCTCTGGGTTATTTTTTCAGGCTTGTCCTCCAGGCCATGGATTCCTGTGGTGTTGAGTCTCTTTTCTCGCTCACTTCTAGTGCCATTTTGATTCTGCAGGTGGCGTCATGTGTCTCCTGTTCTCCCCTTGACTCCTTAAGGCTTATTTTCTTCCTTTGTACTTTTCCTTACGTACTCACCTTTTACAAGACTTACGTTTGCGGAAGCTCACGCACTGGCATTGCTCTGTGTCTCTCCTCTTTTGCTCCCCAAGTTTCTTGGCCTTCGAAGCATCAGACGTCTGAGCAGAAGTCCTGTGTCTCAGGCCTGTCTGGTAGCTGGGACACAGGAACTTTTACTTATCCTTTCCCACCTTCTGCAGGACATGCCTCCCTCCACTTGCTTATGTTTGCCTTACTTTTTTGGCCTCCACTAAGAAATTGGTAGCAAATAGGTGGTCGCAGCCACTACCTACACTTTCCCTTATTGGGGAATATGTTCCAAGGAGGTGAGTGGTGGGGTCTTTGTTAGAGTCACATCAGCGAAACACACATGATGTTTTCAGGACAGGGTCTCAATGCCCTGTGTTCAAATCCCAGCTCTGCCACATGTAAGCTGTGCAGGCAAATCCTTTCTCCGAGCTTTAGCTTCCTCATATATACAATGAAGATGATTAGTGTGCCACCTTATGGATTTTCATGAGGAATTAATGAGAAGGAATGTAAAACACTTAGTCCATAATAGTGCTTAGTCCCTATTAGCTTAAAAAAGAGAAGAGAAAAGTGTTTATGATGTTGTGAATAAGTCAGGTTAGAAAACACCCACCCACAGTCGCCTGACTCCTGTGTCCACATCTAGCATGGCAGCCCTGAAGGGCCCTGCTCAGCTACCAGGAAAATGGGCTCCTTTTGGTGACGCATCTTCCCAGGTCTTTGCATACATTTAGCCAGCTCCTCCTCAAACCAGGACGCAGTCCTGGCATTTGCTGCTCTGTTTTGGGAAAGGGAATCGTGCCGGGTATCTGGCCAGTTCTCATAGGCGGATCACATTGGTTCTCTCACCCAAATGGGTCAGGATTGGAGGCATGGCTTTAACCGTCGCAGCTCTCACGCCCCTCGCCCACCTTCCATGTCCCTGAATTGGGTCTTGTCTGGTCATGCTGTGTGGTTTCTGGAATGGGAGAGGGTTATAGCTGCGTCTCGGACTGCTGTGGCTTTTAAAAAAATACCCTTTATTTTACTAATTTCAAATAGAAAAGCAATACATGTTTGAGACAGAAAATCTAGAGAATGCCAGAAAGTGAAATGAGAAGAGAGCCGTCATCCAGTCTGGAGTAAATCTGATGGAGGCTGTGGCCACTGTGTTTCTTAGCTTCCTGCTCACTTCCCCCGCCCCTGGGCCCACCCTCGCCGTCCTACCCCATTTGGTTGGTACAGCTGAGCATGGTGGCTGTGTCCCTCTTGTGTCCCAGTCCTGCCACATCACCAAGGGGGCCGTGGGAGGTGATATGGATAAAGTAGGTGGCGCCCGTGGCAGGGCTGTTTACTTTGTGCAGGACATGATGGAGATTGCATCTTGGAAGACTCGGGGCATGGGGAAACTTATAAATCACAAGGTTTCCCTAAATCTGACCAGACAATTAAAACACTCAATTTTACTTTGGTAAAAAAAAAAAAAATTAAGGTCGGCAGTGAGGATAAGGTCTTAGTGAAAAGAATGCTTGGCTTGAAGATGGAAAACTTGGATAAAGCACTTTATTGCTCTCGGTATTTATTTAGCCTTGCTGACATTTGAATTCTGCTATAAAGAACAGCAATAATACACAACTCAAGGCTGTGAGGAAGGAGATGCAGGGCCTGGCACATAGTAGGTAGTTAATAAATATTTGCTCAAACTGCATCCTCATGCATGTGCTTTAACAGTTATCATAACTCGCTTTCACATCATGAAAGGGTCTTATTCAAACGCAAAATATCACACTTAAATTTCAGGATGGTAGAGACAATAATACTCTGTATTTGCCTCGATTCTAGAAATGTTTACCACGTCAGAATCTTCCCAGCGTGGTGCTGGAGATACAAAGAGCAAAGTCCTGCCCTCAGGGAGCTCAGTCTACAGTGGGAAACATTTGCAGGCAAAAATGCATAGCAAGTCTGCACCTATATTAGAGAGCAAGTAGCTTCCAGAAAGTGATTGACAGAGGAACTTACTAGAGATGGTGATGAGGTGAACCTGGGTTTTTAAGGCAGAGGGACACTCCCAGGGAGACAGGAGGTTCCAGAGAGAAGAAAGAGCAGGTGCCAAAGAGGCACGAGGTATTGAAAAGCTCCATTCGTACACTACCCATGGGACAGATTGGGCCCTGTGGGCACGGGGGGCTCAAGAGCCTGTGAGTGGGATACCGGGGCACCAGCTGTGTGCTGATTCTTATCACTCCATGGGCTATTTTCACTAACCTGCCAGAGTCAGCCTTTGGGAAAACCTTGTGGGTTCTGCTTATGAGATGAAGGGAAGTGAAGCTCCTCCTCAAACCAGGACGCAGTCCTGGCATTTGCTGCTCTGTTTTGGGAAAGGGAATCGTGCCGGGTATCTGGCCAGTTCTCATAGGCGGATCACATTGGTTCTCTCACCCAAATGGGTCAGGATTGGAGGCATGGCTTTAACCGTCGCAGCTCTCACGCCCCTCGCCCACCTTCCATGTCCCTGAATTGGGTCTTGTCTGGTCATGCTGTGTGGTTTCTGGAATGGGAGAGGGTTATAGCTGCGTCTCGGACTGCTGTGGCTTTTAAAAAAATACCCTTTATTTTACTAATTTCAAATAGAAAAGCAATACATGTTTGAGACAGAAAATCTAGAGAATGCCAGAAAGTGAAATGAGAAGAGAGCCGTCATCCAGTCTGGAGTAAATCTGATGGAGGCTGTGGCCACTGTGTTTCTTAGCTTCCTGCTCACTTCCCCCGCCCCTGGGCCCACCCTCGCCGTCCTACCCCATTTGGTTGGTACAGCTGAGCATGGTGGCTGTGTCCCTCTTGTGTCCCAGTCCTGCCACATCACCAAGGGGGCCGTGGGAGGTGATATGGATAAAGTAGGTGGCGCCCGTGGCAGGGCTGTTTACTTTGTGCAGGACATGATGGAGATTGCATCTTGGAAGACTCGGGGCATGGGGAAACTTATAAATCACAAGGTTTCCCTAAATCTGACCAGACAATTAAAACACTCAATTTTACTTTGGTAAAAAAAAAAAAAATTAAGGTCGGCAGTGAGGATAAGGTCTTAGTGAAAAGAATGCTTGGCTTGAAGATGGAAAACTTGGATAAAGCACTTTATTGCTCTCGGTATTTATTTAGCCTTGCTGACATTTGAATTCTGCTATAAAGAACAGCAATAATACACAACTCAAGGCTGTGAGGAAGGAGATGCAGGGCCTGGCACATAGTAGGTAGTTAATAAATATTTGCTCAAACTGCATCCTCATGCATGTGCTTTAACAGTTATCATAACTCGCTTTCACATCATGAAAGGGTCTTATTCAAACGCAAAATATCACACTTAAATTTCAGGATGGTAGAGACAATAATACTCTGTATTTGCCTCGATTCTAGAAATGTTTACCACGTCAGAATCTTCCCAGCGTGGTGCTGGAGATACAAAGAGCAAAGTCCTGCCCTCAGGGAGCTCAGTCTACAGTGGGAAACATTTGCAGGCAAAAATGCATAGCAAGTCTGCACCTATATTAGAGAGCAAGTAGCTTCCAGAAAGTGATTGACAGAGGAACTTACTAGAGATGGTGATGAGGTGAACCTGGGTTTTTAAGGCAGAGGGACACTCCCAGGGAGACAGGAGGTTCCAGAGAGAAGAAAGAGCAGGTGCCAAAGAGGCACGAGGTATTGAAAAGCTCCATTCGTACACTACCCATGGGACAGATTGGGCCCTGTGGGCACGGGGGGCTCAAGAGCCTGTGAGTGGGATACCGGGGCACCAGCTGTGTGCTGATTCTTATCACTCCATGGGCTATTTTCACTAACCTGCCAGAGTCAGCCTTTGGGAAAACCTTGTGGGTTCTGCTTATGAGATGAAGGGAAGTGGGAGAAAGGTTAAAGAGCTGAGTGCCAACCTCAAGTGCAGGCTGAGCAAGAAGGTGTTGATAAGGGGCCTGTGCCCTCTCTTTTTACCACCAGTCATCTGCCTTCTTGAATCAGCTCACTAGCAAAGTTTATTCTTGAATCAAATCACTTGCCAAAACCAGCCATGGAAACTCCTCATTATGGAAAGTTGTGGACCTCCATGGGGACCCTCTGTGCTGGGGGTCACTCAGAAGCATATGATGATATGATATCTCCTCTCCCTCCCTTCCCCTGTTCTGCAGCAATGGAACGGCAGGGATACTGCCCTCATGGTCACCCGCGTGGTCAACCACAGGCGCTTCTCGGCCACGGTCAGCGTGGCCGACACTGCCCAGCGGAGTGTGAGCAAGTACCGCTGTGTGATCCGCTCCGATGGTGGCTCCGGTGTGTCCAACTACGCTGAGCTGATTGTGAAAGGTGAGTGCCACCGGCGTGTGCCCACCCCCATGTGCAGGTCCCTGGGCTCTGTCCTTGAGAGGGTGGAGGAGCTGAGGCATCTGCTGCTCCTTCTCCCAAAAAGTAGAATGAGACGTGATTTCCAATCCCCCACAACCACACCCGCCAGAGAGGGGAGAGGTTACCGTAGAATATACGACTGAATTGCCATTCACAGTTGAACCTTACATACAGAGTCCGTATGGGAAAGCCTGTGATATATGGAGCATAGAAGACATCTCCAAATTTGGCTTTATTTTGCATTTAAAGTTAGAATGAACCAGTGTCCTTATATTTGGTGGCCTTCTGTTGCAAGTACAATTGTTTCTGAGGACCTTTTTTAATTGAAACCTCTATGCAATGGCAATATTTTGGAAGGACTTTTGAAATAAATAATCCCCCCACCCCACTGACCTTCATTCACGTCTCATGCTTCCGGTTCTTGTTCACCTGGAGGCATCATTCACAGGCTTTCCATTAAAATAGGCACATCGCTTTTCTTTCTGTTTCTTTCAAGGAGCTGGATATCCCATTATTTTTGAAAGTCTGTTCAATCTTTGTTATAATTTTTAATGGTTGTATACTATTTCATCAAATGAATCATCCTATGTTTTAAAATCTCCCTGTTTGTAGTCATGTAGGTAATTCCAGGTGTTTCTGTTTTTGATCTTTCCTTTGCACAACAATTAACACCTCCATGGAGTTCTTTTGAAGAGAACATTTTTATTCTATTGAACCAGATTGTTTCCTTGGATAAATTCCCTAGTGGTAGAGTTGGTGGGCCAAAGAATATGAGCATCTCTATGGGATTTTCTTTGTGTTGCAGTATTGCTTTTACAGAAAATGTTTTGACAGTTTACACTGGAAAATAGCAGCGTATGGATGTACTCATTTTCCAATGTTATGTTCACCGATTTAAATTTTAATATAGCATAATTTAGTGAAAGAAATAATGAAGCTATTCATCTTACGCTAGCTGTAGAATGATACCTGGTGTGTCTGAAAGTGAAAACATTGATCAGCTCCCGGAAGGCTCTTGAGTTGATTTCCTTGGTCAATGCTTGGGTTGGTATGAAACCCTTGACCTTGATTGGCTGGCCCCTATGAAACTGGTAGCATGGCCTGGACCAGGTAGGGATTGTAGTCTGGGATTCTCTCTCCTGGGCTGTGTTGACTCTAAGATGTATATTTGCATGGCTGACCATTTGTTATTACTTAGGTCTGAGCTTGAGTATCGTCATGTCATCTTCTCCATAAGAACTTCCCCACCTCCCCTTCTGTTGGCCACTTTCTGTCACATTATCTTGTCCATTTTCTTACTAGCACTCAGCAGCTTCAAAACTATATTTTCCCTTTATTTGTTTACTTGGTGATTTTCCATTTTCTGTGAAAAGAGGAGCCTCTTCTATTTGGTTCATGGCTCCCAATAAGTCCCCCAAGCTCAGCGGAGGGACTGGCCCAAGTACTGCGCTCTCCAACTTGTATGAAATCACTGTGTCTGATTTTCTTGACCTGTGCTGTCAGTCATTCCATAAGGCTCAACCTTAAAATATTTGTTGAATGATCGATGAATGAGTGGCTTATCAGTCTCAGCAGGAATTCATTTCATCACCATAATGCCATGAACACTGCAGCTGAAGGTCAACAGATGAAGCACTCACGAACAAAGCCGCTAACAGAAAAAAAAAATCTTCCAATTAGTTTACACTGATTGCCATTCCTATATAAAAGAAACCATCATTTTGATCACATTAGGCTCATATCTTTGCTCTTTCTGGTGCCATACGATTGATTTGTGTGACGCAGTGGCCTTTTTAGGTCCTGAATGAATATGTAACTTCCAAGCTGTCCCGTCTGGAATGCTCATTAGGCCTCTTTTATGGTGGCTTCCTGCACTGGAATGGAAGCCCCGGGAGAGAAGGGACTGTGTTTCTCGCACTCTCCACTGTCTGGCCAGCACTTTGCATGTACCTGGCACAAAACTGGTAATGAGAGAGTAGGGTGAACCACTATGGGGTCCGCTGTAGCACCCTGAACTTTTCACACCCAGACAAACGGAGCCAGGAAATGCTGGGTTTATTCTCACCTCATGTCCCCAGTTGTGGAGGAGGAAGTGTGAGAAGCCCAATCTAGAGGCCTCGGGTCAGGATGTGATTTCCATGGTGAAGCAGCCCTGCCGTGGGAGGTGGCCAGGTTTGCCGGGAGAGAGGGATCCTCTGCAGGCTGGCATACCAGGCCGGACGTCAGCCTCGAGGGAGCAGTGCCCACCCAGGCCTGCTGGTGTGATGCAGGAGCCGCCCCTGCTCTGAATCCTCTCACCCACAGCCCTGGCTGCTCCCTGGGGACGACGCTCTGGGTGGCCTCTTAGGGGTTTCCTTCATGGGGACCAATGGCCGGTTGGCACTTCCTGCAACTTGGTCCCTTTTTATTATACTTTGATGAACCCTTTACTGGGCTATCACTTTTTGTACCCATTTTTTCCCCCTATTGCATTTTTTCCCCTTTTTACTACGTTCAGCCAGCAGTGAGCTAGAAGCTGGGCCCCTTGAATATAGAAGTCCCTTCACATATGTGATCTCATTTAGCCCTAATTGTGGCTCTGCATGCACTTTGTTTTTATTTTAACTCATTTTCTGGCTAGGAGGACAGACACAGGCCAGGTCGAAAAACAGCGAGCAGTCCTGAGGGGCAGAGCTGAGGTCTAGCCTGGGCCTGGCTCACACTATTTTCGCCACACCTGGAGGGCCTGGTGTGATGTCATGATTATTAGTGTGAAAAGAATCCAGACAGCAGGCAAGGCTCCTGACAGGCGTCCCTGGACCTGTCACTGGCTTGCCCTTCTAGCTCATGCTGCCCCCTCTGCTGGGCCGCACCTCTCTGGAATGGAGTTCTAACTTCCAGGTTCCTGGAGAAATGGGTTTGGCTCCCTCACTGTGCCTGCTTGCCCTGCCCCCAACCCCTACCCCCTCACCCCTAACACATACCTAAAGAGCTAGTGGTGCCCAAGCCAAACATGAAAATGAAAGGCAGGGGACACTCAGCAGCAGCAGCAGATGGAGGAAGGCTGTCACCTGCAGTGTGTGGCCAGGACTCCACCTGAAGGCCGCAAATGGAGCATTTGAGGGCAGGTGTCTTAGGAAGAAGGATTCACTTACCCCTTAAAGGCCCTTGCCATGGCTGAGCTGAGAAGCATAAGTACTTCAGTACTTTGCACTTGTAAAGTACTTACACTTGTAAACAAAACAAAATTTTCTTCCTTCTCTCTTCCAGGGAAGAGAGAAAGTCTGAGAAACAAAACAAAACAAAACAAAGCAAAAATATTCTCAAGGGCTAAATGCTCTCCTTGGGGATGAGGCTCTTCCCTGGATTGAATTTCCTCTTCCTGTTTTGCACATCACATGGATGGTGTGGGCAGAGGGCAGGGGGCTGACCCTGGGGTGTCATAGGAAGGAAACCACCCCTGGGCAGCTTTTTTACCCCCAGATTTCCTTCTTTTAATTCCAGTGCAGGGACAAGAAAGAACTCTGGAGCCAGGAGGCCTGGTTTTGAATCCTGGCCCCATGACATTCCAGCTCCATGACCTTGAACATCAACTTCCCCCGGCTTCTTCTGGCTAACCTGGCAGTGAGGACACAGCGTTACCTCCCTCAGAGGGTGTGTGTCCTGGGGATTAAGGGGGACAATGGGTGCAGGCGTTCTTCGATCAGTGCCTGGACCACTGCTCCATAGTGTTTGTTCAGTAAAATGAGTAACTTGCTGATGTGGGTGGGATTTCCCAGGTGAGGCAGTGAAGGTGGTGAAGGGCTGGATGGGTGGGTTGGAACAGGACACCTGACCCAGGTGCCAATTTGATTGCTATCTATGTGGCCTTACAGAGATCATTGAAGGCTTCCTCTGCCGAGTGAATATGGGTGCTCTCTCCCATACAGTCATGTGTGTAAGGAAGGGGAGGGAAGAAATATGCACGTGGAGACGAACATGAGGGCTTTGGGAAATGTGGGTCCTCGGCTCCACGGTAGGTCAGCCTCCCCATACCTCCCCCCACCAAGGTGAGCCAGGAGGCTGAGGAAAGGGGAAGTTGCCGGTCCTGCTTCCAGGGCCCCCCTGCCTGATTCTAGCGCTTGGGCCAATATTGGTATTGAGAGGTCACAGGGTCCCTCTGATGCTTCAATGACAGGTGCTCTCACTGGGTCAAGCCCTGGGGGTCCAGGCTGGGTCCCTCTGTCCCTAAATAGGCATTCTGATGGGCTGGCTTGGGGCTCATATGCTATTCCACGACTGTGAGCATTGGGGCTTCAGAAGACACTGCCTAATTTGAATGTAGGTAATATCAAATTCTCATGGCACCACACAGATCAAAATGAAAGCAAATTGGAATTACTTAATTCTGAAGAGCTGTTTATTGAGTTGTGATAATGTGCCTGGCTATACATTAGATTACTCTGTAATTGAGGTTTCGCTCAATTGACAGTCCAGCCCCTTAACCTCCCTGTTCCAGACCAGTGCTCGTAAACATACTCATTCTCTCCCCGTTTCTGGGCTCCTACTGCCTTCAAATTCAAGGTGTTTTAACTTAGCCCAAGGATGTAGGTGTCTTCAACCAAAGTTAGGCAGATGTGGTCCTCCTAATGCAAATTTGCTAACATAAATTTATTGTTGGTAGTGATTTTTAAATCATCTTCCAACTCCATTTAACAACCCGCCATAGGCTCAGAACCCCTTATCAGCTGTCTGTGTGACTTCAGGCAAATCATGTGTTCACTCTGGGCCTCAGTTTCCCACTTCCGTTCAATGGGGGCTGAATATATCTAATTGGATCCTTACGAGAGGGAGCCAATATATGTACGGATCCCAGTACAAATTGGACACTAGTACAAAATGGTTATATTTCTATCAATAATCATAGTTTACTATTATCATGAAGACGTATTGCCCAAATACATTTTCTAGTTTCCCTTGTTCTGCATAAAGGAATGAGAACC